GGCGAGCAGAGCGCAGCGCCAGCTGCCAGCTCGCTGCCCGCCAGCCCAGCTCACCCAGCCCAGGCAGGGGGCGGCGCACAGACCAGACCACGCTTTCCTACAAAGCTCGGGCAGCAAAGTGTCCCAAGCCAGCCCAGACCCCGCCTGGCAGGACAAACTGTGTTTGGGGCACTGAGCACTGCTTGGAGTGGAGGGACCCTCTCTTGGGAGGGGTCATAGCAGTGGGGTGTGCGGCGCTGTCTCCGGCAGAGCTGGGGGGAGGAGGGCAGACCTGCTGCCAAGTTTGCGTTCCCCCTGCGTTTGGGGCAGTGGAGTCGTCGATGCTGCTGAATCAGTGGCCTGCAGATGTTTGTGGAGCTGCTGGGGGGTAAAGGGGTCATAGGGGCAGGCACCGGGGCTTCCTTACCCCAGGGACAGGCAGCACAGCTGGTGTCCTACAGGGCCTTCAGCCTCCGTGGGGTGCAAGGAGGGTGCACGTTTAGCTGAATACCTTCAGCGGGTCTGGGGTACCACTACTGAGGGCGAGGGAGGGGCGGAAGGGAGCAAATTGCTGAGAAGGTACAAGGGAACCAGGCTGTGGGGGGCTGCCGAAGGAGAAGCTGCTCTGGATAAGGTAAAACCATCAATCTGCGTCTGGTCTACGTGGCCTGTACTCCCCGCAGAGGGGGCAGAGCTTTGGCAAGGCTCTGCCACGCAGCAGACCGGCTTTGATGCTGTGGTGAGGGAAAGCGCGGCACAAGCAGCCCTGCTGTGAGACTGCGGGGGCTTTTCTCTCCCAGCTGACACCCCCGATGTAAGCAACAGCCCTGTCGCTTAGCGCAAACCCGTTCTTATTGCAAGCTTGACCCAGGCACCACTAGACCTGGTGGCGCGTGCTAAGCCCTGCAGCCAGCCGGGCTCTGTCCAGGACAGTGTCAGAGGTGAAATACTCGACCTCTGTCTTCAGTGCCTCGCAGGGGAGTCACGGCCGCAGGGGGAATGAACGTGCTGTGACTGAAGATCAGGTCTCACTGGACGTGACGCAGCTGGAGGGAAGACCTCTAGGGACGGGTGCCTCCAGCATGCGTACGTAGCTGGCTGGTCCGCACAGCTTGTTGGAGTACGACGCTGTTGCAGCACAGTCAGCTGTGGACTGCTGGGAGAAAGGAAAGGTCCTTGCGTTGTCAGCTACAGGCCCTGGCGTCCTGACAGCGGGTGCATGTATTTCAAGCTATGTAGATTTAGGTTAACTTCTTGTGTAATCACTTGAAACCTTTCCTCTGCTTCTTCTCCAGCACTTGTGCTATGTACAATTCTTGCTGCTTCTGTATCTTTAACTCTGACACTTGGGTCCTGCCAAAAATGAAACAGTCAAAACAGCTGCCACAAGCGGCAAGAAAATACTGAAGGCTGCTAGGGTAGCTAGAAGGTACCACTGCATGCTCAGACTTTTTTATCTGCTTCCCAGGCACCCACTCTCAGCACTGATGGAGACAGGATACAGACTGCCTGGCCCAGTACACTCCAGGGCTCATTCTTTGCTCCACACACCGACTCTAAGGAAAAACTTGGTTTTTCCTACCAATATGGCAAGGAATTTACCTGGGGAGCCATTTGCTACTGCACTGCTGCCTTTCAGACTTGGCCTGGGATGAGAGTTGCTAGCCCTTCTGACTTGTAAGGATTAAGCAAGTGGGTGGGGATCAAGGGGGCTCAGCACCCAAACCCACTCCCTCCCCTGTGTTCTGCTGATCTGTGACACTTTTTGCTCAGCTGGAGAGAAAAAAGCATCCTTCTCTAACAAGGCTGATGTGCCCCTGTCCAGAGAAGCAGTTTCAGTGAGGATTGCTGGGTTAGCCAGTTTCTTAAAACAACCCAAAGGCTGCCACAACCCACCTTTCTGGGCATGCTGTTAAAACATGGACCAAACAGGCTGTACAGTCTTGTGCAACTGCTCTGGCACCCAGGACAAACAGCTGCTGGCTGCAGCATGAGGCTGCCAACAACCCACTGGCAAGATACGCACTCGAGCGTCTGTTTCTGCTGAGCGACGCAGCGCTGCAGCGCCTGGATCTCGTTCTCCTTGTCCTTCAGCACATCTTCCTGCTTCACAATGCGGCTTTTGATTTCTACAGAGAAAAGAGAGTGGAAGCCATGGCTGAGATCCTTGGGGTCTCACCAACTTAGCAGCTCATCCTCCTACAAAACCACTAAACTTTTCAGGGTAAGAGCCTGTAAAACTGCAGCAGAACAGTTGGGGGTGGGGTGTATGTTTGCCCTGGCTTTCAGTGGAGATTAAACCCACAGATGGCACAGCACATGCCGTCCGCTCTAGTCCTGCAGTTTGCACGTTCAGGTCCACACCTGAATTACTACTACTGTTTCTGTCTTCGAGCACAGCTGTTTGCGGGCCCCACATGAAGCACATATCAGGGTGCGGAGGGGAGCAGCCTGTTAAGCGCACAGTAGAACAACAGATGGATCAAGGCCGAGCTCTCCTGCCACCAGTCTCGTCCTGGTGGGAGCTGGTTGCGTGGCTCCTCCTGCAGAAGGCAGGGCTGCGTGCCCTGCAGCCCGGGCAGGCAGGCTGACAGAGGTGGTATTGAAGAGGTAGATCATGGCTGAAACCTCTTGGCTTCAGAGCACCTCCGAGCAGCTGCCAAGCAGGGCCTTTCCTTCTCTCGATAAGCCCTGGGACTGCACATCACAGGCAGAGCTGAAGCGGGGAATCCTGGCAGTAAGCCCTGGGTCCTCACTGCTGGGTCTTTGACACTTTGCTGGGTGTTTAGAAACCTGCCCTGGAGAGCAGAGCACGGCTCTGCCCGGAACAAAGCACGCAGCTCAGTTTGCCTGACCTGAAGCCTTGACATCTCACAATGTCTTCACTGGAGTCAGAGACGCTACGTGTCATGTTGTTGCCTCGTGAGGCCCGCTCTCACCAGCTGCAACAGCAGAGCTGGCTCAGCCTCCGTGAAGCTTTCTTCCCAAACAGAGAAGAGCAACCAGCCTTCTCCTACCTGCTGGCCTTCGTACTGGTTGGCCTGGGAAGCCAGACCACATCTCCACCTTGCACTTTCCCTGGGAAGGAGGTGGTGATCTGAGATGTGGTGGCCTCAGGCAGAGAAGCATGCCCACATGCAGCCTGCCCTGTCTACACCAGCTGCTGGAGGCCTGCTAAGGAAAATGTCTGCATGCGATCCTTTTTTTGGGCAGGATGCAGCTAAATCAAAGAGTCGGACTTGCTCATCCTGATTTAAATCCTGATTTACATTTACACTTAAGCCAGTGTGACAGCGCCTGGTAGACTTACCATTACATTTGTTTATTAACTTGTCCTTTTGTGTCAGTTCCTCAAGCGCTTTCCTCTTCATGCTGTCAAGGCTGAAACAGAGGCAACGAAGATGAAGGCTATCAGTGGCTGCTGAAGGCAGAATTTGTATCTCCCAAGGTGGAGCGACTTTTTGCAACTCCAGAAGAGTAGGAAATACAGGCCAAACTTGGCAGAGGCTTTCAAAGCTGCCTCCGAGATTCAGAGGGGAACTGGACATCCGAAACATGCCAGCAGCTTTGAAAAAAATCTCAAGCACTTTGATACCCAAGTATTTAACGTGCACTCCTAGGGCAGATACCGATAGCCAGCCTGACCCTGCAAAATAATCTGTCTGGGCAGGCCTCTAAGTCCATGTAAGCACTCAAGGACTTCACAGTGATGCCTTCCTGCCCACCGCCTTGATCACGTTACAAGGCAGCGGCACTGGAAAGATGCCCAAGCCATGTGCAGACTCAAGAGGATGTGCTTCAGAGGAAACCCAACAGCTCCGATCTTCTGAGACTTCAGTTTCAACCTCCAGCTCTCAGAGCATGGGCCTAGGTTCAGCACACCCTCGAGCAGGAGGAGTCCTGCCAGCAGCAGCATCTGGCCTGCTGAGGATGAACGTGCTTTTTACCTGCCATAACACACGGGGAGTCTAGTCCTACTCTGAAGATCCCTTAGTGCAGGGGCTGGTAGAGAGAGAGACAGTGAAATACAGACTCTGCCTGCAAGAGTTTTTTCTGAAACTGAGCCCAAACCCCACATAGCTGCGCTCAGTCTGAAACCTCCTCTGATCTCTGCTAAGTTCAGGTTAAGGCGGTTTGCTCTGTCACTAGTTCTTTTGTGTGTGCCACCTCCCCACGCCCAGCTGCAGGCAAGGCAGCGCTCGCTGTCTCTGTTAAACAACCAGGGACAATTTTGGCTTGTCCCAGCCCCCGAGCTCACGTTTTCTCAAAGATCTCTTTTTCTCTCTTGAGCTGCCGGGACAAAACCTCCACTTCTCCCAGCGCAAAGTCCAGCTTCTCCGATTCCTTGGTGAGCAGGTCTTTGGTCCTTGCGTGCGCCTTCTCCTCTTCCTGTAACACACATACCAGCCTCACGTGCCAGCCCGGCTTTACGTGCTTTCCTCACTCAAGGCACGCACATGAGCAAGGTTTCAGCTTCCTCTCCGTTTCGCTGGAGGGGCCCGGCAGCACCCTGCCTACACCTAACTCCAGCAGCAGCTGACTGTGCCCCCCCACCCTGCAGGCAGAGCAGATGGGCTCCTAAATCCCCGTCTCCTGGCAGCTGGCTCACTCAGAGGTCCGACCCACGGTCCCTGGAGACCCTCCACCCACGATACCTACCCACAAAGCAGAGAGCCGGCCCAGACACCGGGAGGGTGAACCGCAGAGAGGCTGAGCGAGAAACAACCTTCACAAAGCTGCTGCACGAGCAGTTAGCCAGCCCAGACAAGATCCTCCGGCTTACTTGGCCCACCACAGCAGCGTCTTTCCAGAAACGTTTGTTTTGATGACCCTCAAAAGCCCCAAGTTCCTTTAGAAAGTTGTTACACAGAAACAAAACTAATCCCAACGCACCGCTACAGCTTTGGGCTATTTCATGAGGCAGACGGGCTGCTTTGCGCTAATTTCTGAAGGAGCCAGCCCAGACAAGATCCTCCGGCTTACTTGGCCCACCACAGCAGCGTCTTTCCAGAAACGTTTGTTTTGATGACCCTCAAAAGCCCCAAGTTCCTTTAGAAAGTTGTTACACAGAAACAAAACTAATCCCAACGCACCGCTACAGCTTTGGGCTATTTCATGAGGCAGACGGGCTGCTTTGCGCTAATTTCTGAAGGAAATCTGCCCCCTCAAACCAGATCCCACGCTGCCGGGGCGGACCAGGGCCCCGCCAGGCCGCCGCGCGGCTCGCAGGGAAACGC